AAAAAAACATGCTGCCTCACAGTCTACCTAACAAATCAAGCTATTGAGGTGTAAAGGAACTTGGTAGCCTTCCTGCTGCCCTCTGGCCTGTTCTGGAGAGCTCATCACATGGGGAGCACAGAGCCCCCTCTTCTTTCTGGGACAAAGGGCAACTCACAGAGCTTCGCTGGGAGTTTTAGACTGTTAAAAGCAGGGGAGGGAGACCTGAAGCACAAGTAGTGATCCACTGGAAAACAGACTGAATTCCGATGCAGTTATAAAGTGTGTTAGCATACGGCCACATTACTTAGCAACAGGAATTCTGGCCGTCCTGGTTGCCATCATTAAAAAAGGACCACATGGGCCATTAAGCCAAATTCAGAAACTATGATCACCTGATTGCAGGAATATTGACAGCCAGAACTAAGAGAACCCATCCTAATGGTAGGATTTTAGTGCCAGAACTTTGAACAGTTGCTGAACCAATGGTTGTAATCCAAAGACTATCTGTAATAAAATCTATCCAGGCCCATTCCCCAATCGCCAAGGAAACAGAGAGGCTAGAGAAAACCGATTAGCTCTCCAGAAGCAGACTTGGCCTCAGGAGAAAGAGGAGAAGCCTTGGCATCTGCTCTCATTCTTGGCTACAGAGCTCCCCGAGTATCCAATGCACATTTTAAGCATGCTTCCATGCCCAGCAGTTCTTACTGTCACAGAAAAAGGCTAGACATTTCTTGTCTTAAAGGAAGGGGAATGCGTACATAACCATTGTGAAACAGATGGTCATCATCTGAAGTGAAAGGCAAAAAATCAATCTGAGGTGTCTTGGAGGATTGGGACCTCCATCCAGCTGAGTTCTGGCATACGAATCCAGTTGCTGTTGCACTCAAATGGGATTTAGCAAAAAGGCCCATGTTCCTTTTCTGGCCCCCAATCTTTCAGGACACTCTGATTCCTGAAGAAAGGAAAATGACTTGGCTGCAGGACTGGGATAAGGGGAAAGAAATGGGGAAGGTAGCATTCAGGATTGTGTGATGGGGCACCTGGAAGTTTGTTCTATGAATGGCAAATAGAGAACATTTAAAATGGGACATAAACTGCGCCCTACTAATTTGCAAGATGTAGAAACTATGCTTTGTGAAAAACTTCCAAATTCTTGTAATCTTTGACAACCAATCCTTCTAGGAAGCGCCTCTATTATTAGAATGCTGTCTTTACAGCGAGCAATTCTTCATTGAAAATGTCATAATTCTGTTCAACTGGTAGAAACAATGTGGAATAAAACATCCTGATGGGAGATCTCTCCCGCTTTCTTTCTTTCTTTCTTTCTTTCTTTCTTTCTTTCCTTCCTTTCTTTGTCTATGAAACATCTCTAATTGCAACATCCAGATTGTGCATTATGGCAACATGTGGTGACAAAGCAATAACACAGAGCAGGAGGAATTCTCCCTAAGTTCAGTTGCTAAGGGTACTGTGATGAAGGACCATCTTATAGCCTTTGCCCATCCATTTTTTCCCCAACAGCAGGTTTTTCCAGTTTTTCTTAAACCTCTGCACTGCAGTCTCATCAATGAAATGGTTCCCGAGCCTATTAAGGTTTGTATCTCTTTTTTCCAGATGACTCAGAAAAAAAGATATTTTGGAGCAGAAACTTCTTTCGGCCGGCCCACAGTAGAGCACGATTCTGGTTCCTCTGAACTTCTCTCGCAAAGGCCAGTGGGAGTGTGCAGAAGTATAAATGGCTGGGCAGCTGCTGCTCTGGGGGAGCAGAACCAGCAGCTCTCCATCCAATTTTGGGGATGTTCTTCCTAAGATGTAGTGCTCAGAAACATAAAGTCTGGAGGCAATACGACTGTTCCTGCTGCATAAAGTAGGTTCAATTGCCAATTTATCTGCTTGAGTAAGTGGCTTTTTTCCTGACTTTGGCTAGTGGTGAGTGGTGAAAAGAGTGGAAACGAATGTCTTGTCTTTTGGTATCAGTGTCACAAATACACAGATTTTGATATTACAACTATAACAGTAGGTGGCTTTCCAGAAGAATAAAACACAAGAGCATTCAATTTCCATTCATGCCAAGCCCTGAACTCAACTGAGCTGTGGTCTATCAAGGCATTCTCAATTCTAACAAGGATGATGGCTATTAGAAAAGCATCTCTGTCTGGGCAACAATCCCTAAATGGTCCGGGCAGAGTAATAAAATGGTTTTAAATTACATGCTGTGTTACAATAGAAACAGTGCTATTAATACTTTCTCTGGCAAAACCCAATTTAAAAATGGATAATCTGCTGCCCCTTTTGATCAGAGTTTATGAGAGAAAAGGGGAGCATTGAAAGAAAATAAACTGAGAATGGATAACTCTAACCACAAAAAATACCTCTTGTGGACAATAGAAAAAAACTCTTACCACCAAGACTAAAATACCTAGTTAAGATAAAGATGAGACTGCCAGAGACACATTGCTGGATCTGTTATTTGTGAACAGTATTCTCTTAACATTAAACATCACATTCTTAATCCTATGAAAACCTCCTTAAGGAGCCCTGAACTTTGGGGCCAACTATATTATAAACTCCAAACTGAGTTATTTTTTAAATGTATCTTGCCTTTGTTGCAAAGGTAAAATTGAAGTGCTCTTGGAAAATCAGAACTACATAATCATAACACTTCCTAAGGCTTTGGAAATAATTTTATTTACTGATGGTTTATTTTATTTTATTTCATTTTACTGTTGGAGTCTATGGCTCTACAATTTCCAAGGAAGACAATCAGAATAGCACAACAAACCTGGATTTCTATGGTAAAGAGAATGCTTTTAATAACACTCTGTGGGTAAGTAGATTTATCTACAAACGTACAAAAACACATCAATAGTTTAAAAACTAACGCAATATAATGTTAAGAATAAAAGATGCAGTAGGGTATTGGCAAAATGTTTGCCAGCTATCGTCAGCAATCTAGCTAACCCATCAAAAGCAGCCTTTAATTAATTGAAAAGGATGAGGGCCATCTCAATGGTCTCTCCGTTCATTCAGGTTTACAGGGCATCATCATACCTAAGCTGGTTAAAAAGATCAGGTGCCACAAATCATTGGGATCCCAATTGCAACAATGTATTCAAAAACACTCAGGAGCTCTTAGTCTACTACTTTAAAGAAGCTTAAACCCCTTCTAAATCAAATGAGTAGGGTAGACACCACCATTTCTGCTTTGTTGGGAATAAGTCTCAGTCCATCCAATCTAGTGTCCTGCTTAAGCTCTAATAAAGTGCTTCAAGCAATGGGTTTATATTAGATGAAAAGGTCCAGCCTGTAGGTGATGAGCCTGAAGGAGGGGGGCGAAATGCGTCATCAGTCATGAATCCCTTTGTGCTCACAAGAGATCTAAGTCCAGCCCACCTTGAAATCCTTTCTATTCTTAACTCCCGCTAATTCCCTTAACTGTTAGTAGTTGGGATTCTGGTAGAGAGCTTAAGCTTACAATAAATCATTATTCACATTTGAACTGTTTGAATCTCCTGATTTCCCTGGTGCTTGATATAGTGCCCCCCTCCCCCCACCCCCGGCACTTGAAGGAATGTCTCTCCTTCAAGTTTCACATCTGAGCCCTCAGGTCACCAATGAAGGCCCTGCTCTACATAAAAAACATCTAAAGTACGTAACAAAAATATCCTACCATCCTATTCCGCACCCCCCTTCCACGGTCATATGGTATTTCTCACCAGAGGCTCAATGGAGAAGACTTTATTGTTGAAGAGCATTGCATCTTCATGGACAATTGCCTGTCGGTTCTCAAAGGTACGGGTGACAATGGAGAGATGCTCACGAAGTGCTGGATTCATGTTACATTCCACCAGAAGCTGATCAAGTACACTGTTCTGTTCAGCCTGCATGGTTTGACACATCCTACAGCCCCCAGAAGAAAGAGATGAAATATTGTATTTTGTAACAGACTCTAAAGAATGCTTGGTTAAGAAGCAAAGGGGAATGACCCCATGAGGATCACTATTTATCTTCGCATTCATAATATTCAAAGGAGCGATAACTGAAAAGGACCTGTGAGGAGGTGAACCATAGGAGAGCAGAATTTGATAAACTGGTACCTTGTCTCCAATGATCTGAAATCCTAAAGGAGAAACCTATCCAGGAAGAATGGGAAATTCTGTGAAATGAGTTCTACATAGGGTTTTGTTTGTGCCCTAGAGGCACCTTGACTCCTGGCAGCCCTGGGGACAAACCCATGAAAGGGTGAAAGTCACTCAGTTGGTTGCCTAGCCTAAAAGAGAGTCAGGATTCAGATGTTGCTTCTCCAGTCCAGCCATTAGGACTAAAAGAGCTCTCATAGAAAGAAATAGGGAGGGCAGAATTACATACAAACAAAAACCCACACAAGAAAAAAATGGAAAGAAATTTAAGAAACTCACTACGTATATATTCAAGAGCTCTCCCAAAAACCCAAATGGGAACATGACCAAGATGGCGACACTCAGCAAGACGGGAACTCCTGAGGGAACAGCTGAGGTTTCATTTTTCAACCCTTCCCAAAGATCTAGCATGTCTTTTAAAAACTTTTTCCCCTTTTCTCACACCGCTCGCAAGAGCACTACCATTCAGGACTTCTAGTGAGGAATAGATATTTTGTTTTTTACAAAAAACCCACCACCAAACGGTTGCGAGCATTGTCTGACGATGCTCGCAACAGTTCTACAATTCTGGACTTCCAGGTTAGCCATAAGACACACCTCCCTGCAGAAAACCTTTATCTCTGCCCACGACGTTTGGATTGCTTTATCTCTGATCGGGACAGGTGGTTTCAACCTGAGCCAAATTCAAAAAGCACACTCTGGAGGCTTTCCACACTAAGGCAAGCTGAGCTGAATTTATAAAAGCAAGTGAACTGAGCCAGCCACTCCCAAAGCTTTTAGCAGAAAAGCAAGCTGAGCCAAATTTAAAACAAAAACACTTTTGTAGAGTCATTTGCAAGAATGATTCCAGCAAACATAAATTCATTTATACAATAAACTCAATTGCCAAAACCAACTCCAACCATAACAAACTTTGCTCACGGCCTTACCTCTCCATACTGCAATGAACCCGCTCCTGCGAACTCCGTGCAGAACTCAAGAGACATCCAGACCAAAGAGATACTGACTTATACATTGACTATCACACTGACTGCATCAAAAGTAAGTACTGCAATCCATCTCCCAACATCCAACCTCCCATCATCCAAAACTAGGTACACACACCCCTAACTTCATCAACCACCACTGATCTTAAATGCAAGCTAATTAATGCAAGAAGCATTATAAACAAAATGCCCGAATTCCTCCTCTTACTAAAAAAAACGGCTATATTCAACATTATATTTGTCTCCGAAACATGGCTGAACACATCCCTCCCTGACTCCATTATCACAGTAAGAGACTATCATGTTCACCAGTCCGATTGGGAAATCCGTAGAGGAGGTGGTGTTGCTATATTCTATAAAAAGTCCTAAATCTAAAAAATATTCAAGTTACACAGAAGCCTGCTCTTCCTGAGACCATCGTCTGCGAACTGTCCTTAAATACCACATTTCGCTTCTTTCTGTGTTACAGAGCCCCTGATTATGATCTCGTACATGCGAACAAGTTAACTTCACTACTAACGTGGGCAGCCTCCTGCCTGCACCCTTTTATCTTTCTTGGTGACCTCAATTTACCTCTCATTAATTGGATACTAAATGAATGTACAACTGAACCCATACATGCAACCCTGCACAATGCTACTAATCTCAAACTGGATCAATTAGAACTAACAACACTAGACTCAATAACTGCCTTGATCTCATCTTCTGCAACAGTTTAAACTCAATTTATGGATAACAAATAAAATAACACTTTTTCAACAGTGACCACAGCATGATTGACTTTTGTCTCAATATACGTCCTTACAAAAATATTACAATGATAGAATCCCCAATTATAACTTTAAAAAAGACAACTCTGATCTCATAGACACCAACCTCTCATCTCTTGATTGGCAAATTCTATTCACTGGCTGTAATACTGCTGAAGACCAATATAACATTATATCAAACATTTTATTAAGTCAAAAGAGCCATTAAATTACACGTATCACTAATAACCCCCCAAACCAGAAAAAAACCAATTACCCATAACAATAAGGAAGCTCCAATCAAAAATAAAATCTCTTTGGCGAAATAACAAAAATGGCTATGTAGCTAACTTTAAAAGCTGCTACAAAACCTTATGCCACCAGATAAAGACTGAAAGCACAAATTATCACATCAAACAAGAGGAAATCCTTCTACGCACTAATTCCACCCGTGCCTTCTTTAATTTTGTAAACAAGAAGACTCAAGATCCATCCCACCACTTTATCAAACGGTAAAGACTGTATTCAAATAGTTAAAGCCAACCTCTTTAACTCATTCTTCGGCTCAGTCTTTGTAAACAGCAATGGCTCATACCCCACATTTCCCAGTCATACCACTGCTAATCACAACAATCTAATGCATATTGATTACACGAAGCATTTACCTTCATCCCAAAATGAATGGGTAGTAAAACACGTTAGGGCCCCTGCCCTATTTCACTCCCAATACCCTGACAAACCTTGTTAAAATACTATGATGCAATATCTTTTCCTATTTTTTCACAGGTGGATCTCTCCTTTTTCTGAAGAACGGCAGCATGTCAGATCCCTGAAAGTGATCCTGCCATTCAATGGGGAGGAGTGGGGGCTCGGAGTTAAATCACTAGCTGTACCTGTAACAACTGAGTTTTACAACTTTACAACTGGTTTCCTGTCACCAGAAGACTGAAGGTCCCAGAATCTCGGGAGGGATGTTTATGATAGCCATGTGGGATATCTTATTTTAATGTCTAACTAGAGATAGCCATGGGAACGTGTGTTTTATT